TCCCTACAATTTGCTTTCATTGAAATATATTATCTCTTTTACATACTAGGTAGAAGCAATTTAACAACACAGAATAGTTAGCTACAATATGTTCAGAATATTGGGAAATGCAGATTAATTGACGTGACCATCAATTTTATTTTGTTATGTTTTTTAAGTACTTACTGGTCCAGCTGCAGCATACACTAACTGACTTGGTTTTACATTTTAGGGCCGAAACCCTGAGGAACCTGCAGAGTAACTGTTTAGCACTGAGCAGAGTTCAGTATGCATGTGCTCCCAGAGTTAAAAACTAAACCAAACCAATCGAAAAACAAAAATCCCAGTATCTTAATTTTTGAGTATTTACTTGTAATCACAGGCTTTCCCAAATTATTAGAATGCCTTATACCTTGGCTGTTTTACTAGAATAATGATTTAGGCTATTTAGTGTAGTCATTTTGTTCAGAATTTGGTATAAACATCTTTTTTGCTTTTCATAAATTACTAAGCTCTGTCGGTGCCACAGCTGATCCCTCTTCAGTTCCAGAGGCTTCTTCTGGTGTGTGTAGCTCTTGACAGTGGTACTTCACCTTCAGTGGTTTGCCGGGGTACCAGACCAAGTGAATATGACAGGGAATCATTTCCTGGGAAATAAGAGTTCTAAAATATTATGATCTGCAGAAACTTGTGGTTTAAACAGTTCTATATAGCGTTTTGTTTTACCTGTGTTGAGAATTCATGGAGTAGAACAGTATAATCAAAATCAATTGCATCTTCACTTGTTTTCTAGAAGAAGAAAGAAAGAGTTAGTGCGATAGATAGTGTGGGTTTATATTAGCTTAGAATTTGGAAGGCTCGTCTTATATCACCTGCCTTGAACGGGTGGATGGGTGCCTTGCATCACCTGCCGCCTCTTTGATTCTAGCCTCATCTCCTTTGGTGGTATCCTGCATTAAGATGTGGAAGTTGTTGATTCTTATTGTTTTGCCACTGTCATGATAATCTAGTAAGGTCCTTCTGTCACTTTTTCTCTCTAATATTTATGGGTTTTGTTGGAGATTAAGGTCTATGAGAATAGGGAGAATCTTTTGACAACCTAAGGAATCTAGATACTGTATATGCACCTCAAGCTGATTTATAGCCCTGATATGCCAGGCAGTAAGACAATGGGCAGGGCAAGCAGGATTTCTAGAAGGACACCATGGGCCAGGTTCTCTGCTAGGCACTTTATACATGTTCTCATGGAATTCTCCTGTCTTCCAAGAATATGTATTATGAGCCTTCTTTTACAGGGAAGGCAACTTGAGGTTACAACTAGGAGGTGACAAGTGGGGATTCAAACCCAGATCTACTGACTCCACCACCCACATCCTTCATGCTGTACCACACTGCTTCTAAAACCAGCACATTTTAGAGGTAAGCAGGCAGTCTCCCTCAGCTCTTTTATTCTCTTGATTTCTGTAAATTTTAAGAGTGACTAAAGTGATTTCCTGCTTTCTTTTTGACAGTAACTGTTTTGAGGGGAAAAGGTTGGGGCACAAAAGTGCTTATCCCTTTACTAGTAAAAATGGAAGGGAAGGAATTAAAAAATTAATTTGGATTATGATTTTAATCTACCAGGATTTCATTGAGACTAAGAATATGCAAAAACAAAAAGGACTTGATATTAAGTTTTGTCTTCCCTTTGCTTACACTGATGAAGACTTTTACAAGCCATGAAATTTCCATCAGGTGGAGGGGGTACTGGAGGGATATGATACAAGAGAGGGCCTGGATCAATCAGAAATTGACTGCTTTTCTGTGGCGCTTTGCGTCATTGGGTAGGTTTCCCTTCTGCCTTGCAGTGTACCCATGAATGGTGAAAGCAAATATCCAAAACACAGGCTGCAAAGTCAGAATTCATGAGAGAAAATTTAGCATCTTTGATCTAAAGGAACAGTTTCTGGAGGCTCCAGTTATCAGTTGGGCATTGCTGGGTTTGGGGGTCGATTTAGCCTTGTCTGACTCTTATTTGGGTGACAGTGTTGACCTTGGACTGTATTGACACAGCTGGCTCCTGTGCTGTGTAATTTTTGTCTCAGACTTCTGTGCTGCCTGCACTTTTTCTCAAGGTCTGTTTACCATGTATTTCTACAGTTAAAAAATTGGTCTTATAAAGTGTTTTTTCAGGACAGTGCCTCTTTCTGAAAATAGCATTTCTTAAGGAAATCATGGCAATCTCCAGACTTTAGGCAAAAAGGAAGAAAGGCTTGAAACAAATGATGGCATTCCAAGTCCATCTGACAAACTTCTGCTCAATACCAAGTGTTACCCATTTTTTAATAATCCAAAAATTTGGATTATTATAATGCTTGGGCACCCTCTTCATTTAATTAAGACCTTCCTCAGTAAGGCTACTGAGACACACCTCATGTTTCTGTTCATAGATTCTTCCTCCTTCAGGGGGAAGCGCCCTTAAAGCAAACCAAACCAAACCAGGCCTTATTAAAGAGCTGCAGCCCAGACATGGCGCAAGCCACCCTGGCAAAGTACCCAGGGGGCACTGCCCACACCAAGCAAGGCTCTGCCAGGAAGCCATCATTTTTAATACTCAGAAATAATCTCCTTGGTTTTGTTCAAATCATCACATATGTCAAATCCTTATAGTCCAAATTGATGATTTACTGTCACATTTTTCTGATAACCTAGCACTTAATCTTCCTAGAGACAGAATGAAGTATTTGGTTTCCTTATACTTACTTGTGACCTACCCTACCCCTACTGCTCCCCTCCCCACTAAAAAAAAGAAGGAATGATCCCTAGCAGAACCAGTGTGGTTTTAGTAGAGAATAAGTAGGCTTAGGTTATTAATATACGCTATCAAACGTTGATTTTTTTAAATTGAAGTTTAGTTGATTTACAGTGTTGGTAGTTTCTGGTATACAGCTAAGTGATTCAGTTATACATATTCTTTTTAATATTTTTCCCATTATGGTTTATTACAGGATATTGAATCTAGTTCCCTGTGATATACAGTAGGTCCTTGTTGGTTATTTTATTTTTAAAATAAATTTATTTTTGACTGCATTGGGTCTTCGTTGCTGCGCTCAGGCTTTCTCCACTTGCGGTGAGCGGGGGCTACTCTCCATTGCAGTGTGCGGGCTTCTCATCGTGGTGGCTTCTCTTGTCGCAAAGCACGGGTTTTAGGCACGCGGGCTTCAGTAGTTGTAGCACACAGGCTGTAGAGCGCAGGCTCGGTAGTTGTGGCGCATGGGCTTAGCTGCCCCATGGCATGTGGGATCTTCCCAGACCAGGGCTCCAACCCATGTCCCCTACATTGGCAGGCAGATTCTTCACCACTGCACCACCAGGGAAGTCCATATCTTTTTTTTTTTTTTTTGCGGTACGCGGGCCTCTCAACTGTTGTGGCCTCTCCCGTTGCGGAGCACAGGCTCCGTACGTGCAGCGCTCAGCGGCCATGGCTCACGGGCCCAACCGCTCCGCGGCATGTGGGATCTTCCCAGACCGGGTCATGAACCTGCGTCCTCTGCATCGGCAGGCAGACTCTCAACTACTGCGCCACCAGGGAAGCCCCATATCTATTTTATGTCTAGTAGTTTGTATCTGTTAATCCCAAAGTCCTAATTTATCCCTCCCCCACCCCCTTTCCCCTTTGGTAACCGTAAGTGTGTTTTCTACGTCTGTGAGTCTACTTCTGTTTCGTAAATAAGTTAATTTGTTTCATATTTTAGATTCCACATATAAGTAATAGCATATGGTATTTGTCTTTCTCTTTCTGACTTATTTCACTTAGTGTGAGATTCTCTGGGTCCATCCATGAAGCTGCAAATGGCAGAATTTCATTCTTTTTTATGATTGAGTAGTATTCTGTTGTGTGCCTATACCACATCTTTATCCATTCATCTGTCGATGGACACTTAGGTTGCGTCCAAGTCTTGGCTATTGTGAATAGTGCTGCTTTGAACGTTGGGGGTGCATGTATCTTTTCGAGCTATAGTTTTCTCTGTATGTATGCCCAGGAGTGGGATTGCTGGATCATATGGTAACTATTTTTAGTTTTTTAAGGAACCTCCATACTGTTCTCCATACTGGCTGTATCAATTTACATTCCCACCAGCAGTTGTAGGAGGGTTCCTTTTGCTCCACACCCTCTCCAGTATTTGTTACTTGTAGATGTTTTAATGATGCCTATTCTGACCAGTGTGAGGTGGTACCTCATGGTAGTTTTGATTTGCATCTCTCTAATAATTAGCAATGTTGAGCATCTTTTCCTGTTGGCCATCTGTATGTCTTCCTTGGAGAAATGTCTGTTTAGATCTTCTGCCCATTTTTTGATTGGGTTGTTTTTTTGATATTGAATTGTAGGAGCTGTTTGTACATTTTGGAAATTAAGCCCTTGTTGGTTGCATCGTTTGCAAATATTTTCTCCCATTCCGTAGGTTGTCTTTTCGTTTTGTTTATGGTTTCCTTTGTTCTGCAAAAGCTTATAAGTTTGATTAGGTCCCAGTTGTTTGTTTTTGCTTTTATTTCTACTGCCTTGGGAGACTGACCTAAGAAAACATTGCTACAATTTATGTCAGAGGATGTTTTGCCTATGTTCTTTACAAGGAATTTTATGGTGTCAAGTCAAAAGTAGATTTCTTAGGGGCTTCCCTGGTGGCGCAGTGGTTGGGAGTCCGCCTGCCGATGCAGGGGACACGGGTTCGTG